TCTTTGATCTTTTCGTTTACCACTATTGCCTCAAGGTCAGGTGTTGTGAGGCTCTCCATGTAAACACATTCCTCCTGATTAGGCAGATTAGATACTGGTGTGCATAACACAAACTCAGTAAACAAGGCTGCCACAGCTTAACGCACATAATAGATTAGCAGCTCCCAACAACCTCTGGCTCTTCCAATCTCTCATGTAATCATGAAAGATTATGAATATACAGCCTAGCCATGCCATTCCTACAGTTTTCTGAGTCATAAGAATGTGGATGAATGAGCTGCTAAATCAATGAACATTCATGACTCACCAAAAAAAATTAATCTACTAGTTTTATGAGATATTCAGAGATCTATACAGTAGTTACCTTCCCACTGAGGTCATGGCCAGGATGATGCTAAAATCTTTGTCATGGACTGCACTGTACAAAACTCTGACCCTTTTCTACCACAGGAATTTTCCTAAAATGCATCCATTTTCACACAACAAAAGTGGAATTGTTTCTAAAAATGCACATAGGAGCATATTGCATCATGGTCTGTTCCTTTTGATTTCTTGGTCATAATCTGTGATCACTGATGAAACTCTGGCAAACGACAGGAGAGAACTATGAACAATTCAAATAGACTTGACTCACTGACACCTGCACCTATGATGAAAGTTCTGTGTTTCAAATGACCATTAAAGATGGTTCTATTAAAGAGGGACATCATGAAAATGTTCATTTATTTATTTATTTATTTACGCTTGAGGTCGTTTGAGGATCTGTTCCTCAGGGGTCACATGGGCTAGGGAGGAGGCCCTGGCTCCTTTCTTTTGCCAGTTCTTCCTAAGTGAAGATAAGTCAAAGATCCTGTTGGCCCATGGTTGGCTTCACTTAGAAGCATGGAAGAAATGATTCCTCTGTGTTGACACTCTTCTTTATAGACTGGACACTGGTTCAAGTCCATCTGGTGGGGTCTCCTCAGCCTCCTTGATCAAGAGGACAGGTGACCCACCACCATTATAGGACATTTTGAGAGATGATCATAGTTCCCTTGAACTAGTTGACGTAGGAGGGCAAGGAGCAAAAAGTGTCCTTTATGTCCCTCTGACCAAATTATTATAG